CATAAGGATTTTAATGTCACCATTTGAGATGTCGTCCATTACTTTTTGTAGCTGTCTATAGAAATCTTCATTCTTCTCTTGTTCCGCGTTGTTTGTAGGCACGGTTTAGCGTTGGATAATCGTGACCTTCCTTCCTATGGAGTTGAATCTTGCTGTGATGATCCTGAATGAAATTGGTTCCCACTGCATCGCTGACATCACGATAGCCACTCCCTCGTTGTGTTCGTGGTTTCCGTCTGGGTGACCAGACTGGAGTAGATTACTGGCTTTCCCATTGACAATGTTGTCAATCTGCATCCATTCCATCTGCTATCACAGATACCCAGTACTTCTAAGCCATATCTTCGCATCTCTTTCGCTACCTGGGCAGCCTTCCCAATCTCGTACATTGTACGGTCATTCCACGTACCCATTCTTACTCTTGCTTTCATCGTCAGAAGACACATCGGCTGGCTGACTTGCTTTCCGAAGGCTTTCACCAGCCATCCCGCTGTGTCGTTTCGCCTCTCCAATTCGAGTGAAGAATAAGATTGTTGTTACTTGAAGTTTTGTATTTTTAATATATTTTCTGTGTTGAAGTTACACTAGCTGTTTGAAAGATTTAGTGGTGTGGGGTTGCTAGCCCCACGCCCAACCCTCCCTCTTTACAGGGGCTTGGGACCAGCTAAGAAACTAGCAAGTTAGTTAATTAGGTCAGGTCATCCTTTAGGTAGTAAGACTGAAAAGGAGCAGAGGTTAGGACACTAAAACAACACCAAGGACGCTTCTGAAAATTCCCCTCGGAACCTGGATAGGAATAGAATCGTGTGTATCCATACTCACGAAATAACCTTGAGTGAGTGGAGGTATGGCCCAAAGTAGCTATAACACTCGAATTTCAAGTTCTACTCTGCTTACAAATGTCAGGCGTTTGTTGATCATCGGACGACAATAGTTATTATATATATATATATATATGTATAGCTTATCCTGCTATATGAAAAAACTTTTCCTGCTTAATGATTGATAACGTACTTCAAACAATATTGTTTTTTTCTATATTCCTTGCATTCCAAGTAGGACATTGAGCTTCACAATTTTTGAAGTTTCAGGGGTTCGTTGGCCTCGCGTCCAGCCCTCCATTTCTTTCCTGGCTTACTCCCTATCGCCTAGAAAAATAGGCACGGTTAAGTAGTGCGTCCACTGGGAGTCGACCACTGCACTGGCTAGCTAATAGTTCTATTTCAATCAACAGTATTCACAGACTTAAAAATGCACAACACGTTTTCTTTTCAATGAAGAATTGTACCATTAGTTTTGTTTGAGTGGATTTTGATGCAGTTGGGTGTTGGTATAATTGCGAACCGCCTTTCACTGTCCTCCATCCAGATAACATAACGCTACAGAGCGAATTTGAATGTATGTGAAGTCTGAACTTATTTCAATCCCTTCTCCATGAATGTGATATAATTGTTTATCTAGTGACAACATTTTTGTCATGGTGATTAGTTGTTGAATTTGCGCTAGTATTGATGCTCGTTTTTATTCGACTAATGAACAAGCATCAGTCTTTCTGAGAAATGAAAAACAATCTCTCAAAGATTTCCTTTTCCAGGAGATCATTTTTCTCATTCATTCTTGTCAAAGTTAGTTGAAATAGTTAACAGTGGAAATCAGTAGAAGGAATTAGCCTTCCTCATTTGAGGAACTTCTCAAATTTTCCGATTAGATACTGTCAAGATTCTACTAGATTTCTGTAGTTTATGAGAATTCCGAATCTTTTTACCCTAAAGCAAAATAAACTGTGTGTGTGACAAAAAAAGATAATCTGTGTGAAATTTTCACGAAGGTAATAAATCATAGAGCGACACTTCCCTATCAAATGGAAATAGGATAATAAACAGGTAGTGACAAGCTAAAAACAATCTGTTTTTATCCTGATCCATTTTGCAGTTATTTCTGATTATCTGATCAAAGCTCTGGGCAGCAGGTACAAATTAAGGTCCCTAAGATCAGCAAACTTAACATTAATTGAAGATGAACTAAGGATTGTATCTGACACCCTGATTGAAAATAGCTATCCAGACAAATTCGTCAGGAAACATATAACTAAGAAAGTTGAAAAGGACTATTCACTATCCTTAAATAAGAAGCCTTTATACACATGACTGCAATTCAAGGACGATATACTTAGCGAAATAATTACGAAGAGGTAAAGAAAACCATTTCAAAGAACTTTCAATACCAACAAACTGCAAGTCTTATTTCCTAAACGATTGGTGGTGATTCCTCAATTGAAAGATGCAGTACATAGACTAACCACTTTTGATTGTATCTACCGATTCAGCTGAGCATGTGGAGTGAGTTATATTGGTCGTTGCTCTAGGAACTTGAAATTTTTGTGCTCAGGAACATCTACAAGTGTGGCTAAATAAAGGTGTAGTAAAATCCATCAACAGTTCGATATTCGATCACCTGGTCCAAACCGATCACAAAACCAGCATTGAAGCATCCTTGTCCATCATCTACTGGGTACCAAATAAATTGCTAAAAACATCTAGGTACCGCTTACTCCAGACAACAGAAGCTATCGCGATTCGCCTAAAACAACCAGTGTTCTGTGCGCAGAAGAAGCAAGTCCAGTCACTACTACTGCCCTGACCTTCAGTGGAGACTATACATACATGAATCTGTATTATTATCTTTCCTAATTTTTCTGATATTCAGTGTATAGTTATTGTGATCCAGTAGAAATGTAATCCACTGACATTAATAAACATTAATGTTGTTAATAACACTAATTCATTCACTATTATGTAGATGCTGATGATGAAGTCATCGAAAAGAATATTCTTTGTTCAGTAACCATTCTTTCGAAAATTAAATCTATCAATCAGACAACTCCTACACCTCTGTAGCCACAGTTTATACGTTCTCCTATTAGCAGATCTCAGTTTGTTTACATCAAGGGCGATCATTTAATCAGTGCTTCTTATCCACTCACCAATCCCAATCAAGCTCACCCTGGGAAGATAGTAATTCCAGTCACATAAAATCACTTACCGAAATCTCATTGTATTTTCACTGTAAACATGATGACGCTGGAAATGCTTCCTAGGATGACAATGATAGTTTCACAATCAAACTATGCAGTTCAAAGGAAACAACCGCAAAACGGAAAATATGAAATTAGACATATAATTGACACGTAAAAATTAAGACAGAGTCAGAGAAGAGAATTTCTAGATGGTTCTTTCCATTATTCCTAAGTTTATCGATTGGACTAATTTATCAGGTGGATTATCAAAAAGCAACTCAGATTTAAATACTGTCATAGTCTGACTGTGAAGTTGTGACTCATATTGACCTAGGCAACTTGATCTCAAACACTTGTTCAAGGGTTTGAATCCTTCTTCACCTGTCATGATTTGCGCCAACACACATTATGTTGTGGCTCATATTTAAGTGTCAGGAAACAAACATCGATTAGAAAAAATCATTAGAAACTGGAAAGTTACTTTATTCTAGTCTGGGACTCTTTGGCAGTAGGAGGGATTAGACCCATGACCTTGAGGTAGCTGAATGGCCAACTCACTGACCATCCAGCTACTGGGGTAGAATTCAACAACCCTTGAATTCTAAGTTTTATCAATCCGTGATATCAACCAGTGCTGCTGATGAGCATGTAGTGCACCTTTTAGGACAAAAGATAAACCTAGGGATAAAATAAATAGACCAAAGTGAATTAACCCTAATAATGACTGAAAAAACGTCTAACCAGGCTGTGGATGCCGGTTTTGGGTATTTCAAGTTTGTTTTAACCGGTACGCGTTCAGCCAGTCTTAGATGTCATTTCGCACTCCTTCATTGTACCGCAGTTAACCCATACTAGCCACTAGGTATCTTTCTAAAATTTTTTCCTCAAATGATCTTAACTTTCTATTCCATTTATATGTAATGCTCATGAGAACAGATTCCTAAGTAACTTTTTCTTTTTGAATTGCGTTTTGTTATCATTACTCACGGGTCAATTAGTGTTCTGTTTAACTGGTTAGTTAAGTAGATTACGTTTATTATGACTGGTAAAGTGTAGCTAACCAGTACCTTACAAGCATCCACTTCAGCCTGGCATGGTGAGACTTGTCAGGACAACTTCGGGACATCCATCTATCTAGTAGAAACTACTTATGAGCTCAGACTATCAATTTTGTGGTGGTGGCAGCCGCAGATGTGAAGAAATCTCCGTGTGTTGGTTTCATCAATTCTTCCTGATTTTCATCAAAAACTCTCCCAAACACACACACATATAACTCTCTAACTGAACTTGGTTGGTTTGATGACGATAGACTGCACATAAGACGCTCTGTGCACACGTCTTTTAAAAATGGGGGGTTAGGGAGCATTACTTAGTATGGTCACTATATATATATATTACTATATAGCTGCTTTTGAGGATGAAATCTCAGAAAAGAAGGATATCTTTGCTGAAGTTCTCGTTTTTTTGTCTAGTGTCCTGATGGATATTTTCCGCGAATCCAAAATCCCACAAAACAACAATAATCTATGCTTGTAATTTGTAATGGTGACAGTAAGAAAATGAAAAACTTCATTACCAGATGTGTATTACTATTAATACTCTGATCTGTTCTCTTCTAAGCAATATTAATATTAATAATATGATCTGTATTTCCCTGATCAGATAACATTCACGTACACAAAAGCATATGTGCGTGTCTGTACCTGTGTGCCTGTGTATCGGTCCATCTACATATCTGTTTGTGAGCACACACACATACCGAGCATGATAACATCGATATTAACCGAGGAAATTACTGTCATTCATACAATCACATATTGATTTATCGATCGATGTGTGGTTGGTCAGATTGTTGTCACTCTGATTGGTGGTTGATGAGCAAAAATACAAGTGGTGTAGATCAGTCTATACACGAACTCATTTTGTAACTTATTTAAATGTTGTTTGAGGAAAGACGAGAGACAAAGAGAAATTAGTCAGAATAATGCAAACGTCGAAAGTTACCAATCGGTTATGTAAACTTCCAGGTCGTTTAGAAGGCAAATTGGCGATTGTCACTGGTGCTAATATTGGCAGTGGTCTTGAATTGACTGGAGAGTTGGCGCGTCGTGGATGCACGGTGATAATGGCTTGTAGGGATTTAGAAAGAGCATGTTATGGCAGGGAATCACTGATTGATCGTTATGGTGAAAGGAGTCAAGAGGCTTGGCGAAAATCACCAGCTGGAGCAGCTGTTGAACCATTTCTGCAGGCGATTAAATACTCACAGGTAATCTGACTTTTTTAAAACATTTTTATACACATAATTATGTTTAAAGAATAATCTTTATTGACAACAACATTAATGTCTCTTTTTTCACTATGTAATATCGAAATGTTAGGAGGATCAGTAAAATTACAGTTCAGTGTGAAAATATGCATAAAAATATCTGATACCGAAGTGAATATCAGATGAAATTGGGATTATTTGTGCTACAATTAACCATAGCTAAAATAATCATGGCCAAGATAAGCAAGGCATATGAACCAACTGCTTTTGAAAACACACACATAAATTTAACTTCTTCAAGTGGATTCTGACGGTTTCAGCTCTGTGTGTAAAAGACGAACAGCTCGTAAGGCAAAATCAAGAATTATCTTCGGAATGCTATACCTTTGTATGCCCGTCTTGTTAACTTACATCATCTTTGTGTGCTCAGTATGCACAAAAGGTGGAAGCTAAAACAAAGTGCTGTGAACAGGCCTTGTCTGTCCCTTAATTATCCACTATACCGGATAATGACGATCTTCAGAAATCCGAGGATGAAGATGGCTAATTTTTGTACGTCCAAAGTAACTAACTGGCTTTACAGGAGCAGTCTAACTGTGGTAGACTGCTCCACTCATATCCCTAACTCACGAATAAATAACTGGATGAGGTTGCGATGAAAAGGTAGTAGTATATTTCCGCTACACTGAATGCCCTTTACATACTGAATTCTTTAAAGGTGCTGTGTTATCACTACGGAATTAAAGTTTTAAGAACAAGGTCACCTTTTGCTTTGCTTCAGACTCATATTCTTATGAATAATCTTTTCTGGATAACCATTTTTATTACGTAATTGTCTTGAGTTCTTCATAAAAAGTCACTTATTAGAACAGAATAGTCTATTCGCAGTTCTATTTTATTTCATCCCTCAGACACTGAAATTAAAGTTGATGTTATTTAAAAAAAAAGTGTCTAAAGTTATCTACCATACGCCGAATATTCTCACTTTCAGCTTACGAGTTCGTCTTTTACATACAGCTATCCGAAGCTGTCGGAATCCACTTGAAGAAAAAGCGTAACTTATGCGTATGTTCAAAAGAACTTCGGTCGTATGCCTTCCATTCACTTGCAGTTTTCTCCCCTAATCCTATCTAATATTCAATTTAATATCAAATAGTTTTGTTTCGCGCCAGTTAGTTTTCATGGATTTGATTTGAGTCTGATCAGGGATTGATATCAGTTACAAGAACCAATGAAAACCAAGAAGTACTGGACAGCTGTTTCGTCAGTCTAATTTGGGACTCCTCAACAGTACGCACCAACACTTGTTCGAACTCAGGGCCTTCTTGTTACAAGTCAAGCTCGTAGACCATTCAGCCACTGGGATCCAATACAGTGGGCAAACCATGAAATCCAGCTTCTGTCAGTTCGTGATTTTAGTGCGACTGGCACCAGCAAATGTCACCGGCGGCGGGCTTTTTTCTTACTCCTGACCGGTTGGACTTGATTTGCCACGACTTCTCACTGGAACACTTTAGGCAACTTCATCCTGTAGTCAGCCAATCACTAGACAGTGTGCTAGTTTGTAGGTATTTTATTTGTGCATATTATCACTCACTTACACTCACACATGCTTTTTAGAACTGTAATTCTGATGATCCTCTTAAAAACTCGATATTACATATTGAAAAGAGGTATATTAATGTTGTTTTCAATAACATTGACTATTTAAGTATTACTGTGTGAATATATATAACTGTAAGATGAAATGAGTAGGTAGTTATCGAAAATGAATATATGATGACTTGTAAATTATGCTTCTGTGCGTAATCGTCTTGAGAGTCTGTTGATTACTCTTCGGAAAGGAAAATCATAAGTATGATAAATGTAACATTATGAGTGTGTGTTTTTGTGTGATAGAATATATAGTCTCATATTAGATGAGTTTATTTTATATAGCATGCAGTGTAATTGATACAGTATTAATATCTGGGTCACGATGTTTCGAGGATACGTTATTCCTTCTGCCCATAATTACATCATCGCAATGTATATTCACACAGCTTGAAAACCTTCTATATGTAGTCTTAATCCCTGTTGTTTTTAAATGTCATTTTTCATATTTACGTTAAAGGTGTTGCATCATTAAGATTGCACTCATATTTGGCTTATTGATTGGTGACTACCGTGTCTCCCTATCAGTCTTCAGACTAACTATTACTATCACTTTTTGATACTCTTACCCTATCCTCTCATGCCTTAATTGTGTGATTACATACAAATGAATTATTATCATTATTATTTCCTTTAATTCCTAGAGAAACATAGGGCTTCAGCCGTGCGTCTCCATTGCGTTCGGTTCTCTGCTAGAGTCTTTACGTGGCTCCAAGTCTTTACACACGTTTTCATCTCCTCTTCACATGACCTCCTCCAAGTCACCCTTGGACGACCAAATCGCCGCTTCCCTTTCGGGTTCCACAAATGAATGCTTCCCAATAATTCACCTTTTTCATTCTTTTGTTCTGGTAACCTAACTGATCCTATTTATTTAACCTCATTGTCATTACATGATAGATAGTAAAGTATATTTAGTTTGTTTTTTAATTGAGTTGTACTCCACTTTTGCATCGGTTGTTCGGCAGTTGATTGCTTGCCAACCACTCACGTGGTATGCGCTTCGATTCTCGGCCTACAAACTCTTAAACATCACGTAGCCAATAGAGAAGGATTGTTAGTAAGGCTAGCAACCCCACCCAGTAATAAATGAAAACACCACTTCTACTGAAACCTCAAAGCATCTAGCCTCAGGCCTTGTGTTCCACTCGGGACGCAAAGGATCCTTTCACTCAATAAATTTTATATGTGAATGAGATGGTAGCCTAATTCCAGCCTACCGAAAGAGAGTTATCAAGTTGTATCATGAATACAACAGTAAATTGTGCTCGAAACATCGTCATTCAGTTAATAATACTGCACTGCCGACTGTGTGTTATATCGAATAAATTTATCCCGTATGGAAGTGTATGTTCCATCGCATATCGTCTCCGAATTCTGCTCTTTCATGTGTTTATTAGATTCCTTCTCAGCCTTTTTCTTTCATTGTGCCTAAGTCTTTTGTTCAGTGACTTTTGTTACGACGTAGAAATTATCATTCCTTATCTCCAAAGACATAGCAGACAATCAGAAAATATGACTGGAACAAAAGTATTATATATATATATATGCAAATAACTGAAAGTTAATTCAGGTTAGATGATGGACGGGCAGTAATGAAAACTACCAGGACGGAGTACTGGTTGGTACCGGAGGTCAAACCACCCTGGACCTTCAGTTTACCAAGTGAGCTGCTGTAGTCAGGCCTCAGTGAGGAACATTGTTCCATACAGAACAATATTGATCCATTTGTTTCGTCGTCAGCTACATACAATCTATAGTAATTAATAAAACAATCTTAATATATATTTTGTTTGTCAAAATCATAAACCAGTCCTCCAGTAGGGATTGATTGTTGTACGAAAGTCATAGTGAGACAAAACATAACTATAACAAGGTTATCTTAAATTATTAGAACTTATACATATAATATACACATGAACGAAGTTTCTCATAAAAATGAACAGTTTTGTTGTTAGGGTGGCGATAAATCAGTGATAATATGCGTTAATATGACACTAAACCTCATTGAATATCAGATAAATTAATGGAGGTAAGACACACAGTTGCCATATCAATGTTTTGTTTCATTATGAATTTATTATGACAGTCAGTTCTCATTAGAGGGTTGATTTGTGATGTGTGTTAAAAGTGTATTACAGGTGGTTTCGCTGAATGCTGTTAGCTGCATTCATCTGATGACGGAAAAGCAACGAAATAAAGGAATCAGATCCTCTTTCAACGGTAAGTTTGTAGCAATTTGATTAGTTTCAAGTGGGGCGAAATAATCTCCGGTCTTAAAAATCACGAGATGGAATAACTTAGAATTCATGGACTGGATAGTGAATTCAGTCATCGTAGGTGAATGGTTTGGTCACCTGTAAATTCTGGCCTCGATCGCCTGTGGTTGGAGTGATGACGGAGTTCTGCCTAAGAATCAATCCCCAGACAATAATGAAACAGCTGTCCATTAATCACTTATTTTGCAACAGTTCTCTGACTAATATCAGTTCGTTATCAAAACTGAAATCAATAAAATTCCTGTAAACCAACACTTGAAAAGAATTGGATCACCAGAAAACCCTTGTTGTGACTGGTTGATTGTTAAATTTACATTTTCAGTTTAAACTACTTAAAAAGAGATTCAGTAGCTTATAATGATTCAATAAATATATTGATTTTTTCTTTAGTTAATTGTTGAACATCTCGATTTAGCCTGTCTATCATCTATACGTGAATTTGCCAGAAAAATGAATAGTACCTATACCCGATTAGATTTGTTGATTCATAATGCTGGTATGATGGCGACAAGTTATATGGAAACCCATGATGGCTTTGAATTGCAAATGGGTGTCAATCATTTCGGTCCAGCGTTATTAATCGATCTACTACTTCCACTGTTAGCCAATGCATCTTGCTCTTTACCATGCGCGCCAGCTTCACCGTCACGTATCATTGTGGTCGCCTCAAATTTATATCAACAAGGTGAAATTGATTTGAATAGATTAAACTTGAAAGGTGATCAATATGGTCCATTCAAGGCGTATAATCAATCCAAATTGGCTATTATATTATATATAAGAGAGTTGGCGAATCAGTTAAACAATCTACGGATTATCCCAATGACTGTACACCCTGGGGCTGTTCGAACAGAAATATCATATACAGCAAATAATACCTATCAAGTGAGTAATGATCAGTTATTATTGCTATCATTAATGCTATTATTTGTCCCATTAGTCTCTTCAGTGGCTGCACATCATTGCAAAATTGCCACAACACATTCATTACCTTTGCTTCCTGTCACATGATCTCCTTCTTTATCACCTTTGTTGAAACCCAACTGAGCTGATCGCCTGCTCCCCATTTAAGAGTTGCTTGCAAATCTCTTCAGGGTGTATGTCCATTCCATCCCCCTTCATCTCTATTTTTTCCGTCTGCATCTTTGATGGTTGATTTGTTCACTAACTAACAGAGTTTATTGTTGTCTGATTATCATTTCTGTCAAACCGCCTATCTGATCTTCCGAATCGAGGCAGCGAAGCCGCCTGTTAGAAATTCTCCTGACTTGGAATTAGTGTCGGAAATTCCGATTTTGTTTCTTGTGATAGGTTTTATATGCGAGGATGTCCACGCCGATTTAAGAGAGTAACCAAGACCTGTCTTGCTCTCCCCTATGCTGGCTTTGATATTATCATCCCTGTAGCCACCTGTAGTTGAAATGGTACTCCTTCGATAAGTGAAAGAAGTAACTTCCTTTAGATTTCTCCTGTTGACGGTGACTGATGCTTCATGTTGTTGATTAGGTATCCTTATCACCTGCGTCTTCTCTTTGTTCATTTGACATCCTGCTTTCAACGTTTCCTCCCGCATATCGTTAGTTTTCTCGTGTAGATCCTTTACTTTGTGTGACGTTAGACATTAGGAATCTAGTATTCAACAAAGGGACTCATTCAACGAATTTATTATCAAGCTGTACAATCATATATATATATATTTAATAGACAAAATGAAAAATAAATGGTTATGCCTCAACGGCCAAGGTAAAAATAGAGACATTACTTATTCTTTTCACACACAAATGTTTGGTTTTCAGAAGTCTTCAGAAGTTTCCAAGGAAAAAATCGCAGCAATTTGGCACGAATTCGATGATGTGTTCTCGAATGAATATGGGCTCTTAAGCCCTTTCCCTCTGCTTTGTAAAACCATCCTTTAGTGTGATCTCGTGTCACTATGTATGTGAAAACCACTCGCTGGTTACCGTTGATGTATCTTGCTTTAGAAGAGTAAGTGAACTGATGGATGTGTAAACAGGCGTCCGGACGAGACGCTCATCCTTTACATGAACGCATAACAACCTACCTCTAGTGAAAGTTATTTGGAGCTCCGCTACAAAAGGAACGTCTTACTGACTGATTTAGAAAGACGATTTTCGGGCGCACATCTCTGCAGACTGATCACCATTTGAATTCCAAATTCATGAAGATGGTTGTCCTTTCGGCACTGAGTTAAAGACCAGTATGGATTGTCTATCTTTCATGTTTTCAGTCAATGAATTGATTTGATGAGTCTTCGCGTATCTGCAAGTATGGCTTTGAGCAAAGAAAGTTCACGGTTAACAAAGCTAGAGCTTTAAAGTTTCGGTACAGGCGGTTGTATTTTCAAGGAATTGGGTTGCTAACCTCACGTCCAACCTTCCCTGTTTACTGGCCTTACTATAAACTTAGTGAGTTTGAGGAGTGCATCGGCTGGGGATCGAACCCCAGAGCACGTGCGTTGTTGTAGAGAACTCTACTATAAAAAATAAATTAGCTGTCCATTCCATGTACCTTTTTTCCATTAAACAACTACTCGTTGCACAAGAGGCGGTTCTCCTAGTGGATAACGCTTTGGTACACATGGTGGGTACTACGTGAGAACACCATCTTCACTCATTGGGGAATGCAAGTATATACAGCTGACGCCTAGTCTCAAATATGAGGGTGAAACGCGCATCCTGGACTCCACTGCTAGTCATCATCCACCAATTTCCTTCAAGTTAAATAATCACACACAGCTGAAGCGTCCGTTTTTGGAGCTGATATGTCAACAGAGGCCAAAAGTTTAAGTCTATTTAATCAACCGGGAAATCAAAACTGAATTGAAAATGATGCGTTTTTCCCTAACAAAAGTCCGTATCCTAACAGTTACAGGCTAGTATTTGTTTTTTGATATTTACTTGGCTCACTGAAGCGGAAGATACTAAGGACGAATGGATGTATTTAGTAGCATTTCAGTTGAGTTGTCCATTATGTTCAGTATTATTACACCCACGTATAAATGGGCTCAGTCATATCAACTGGTTGTGTTGGCTGGTTGCTTGTTGTTTGCTTTTCCTTTTTACCCAAACAGCCAGTTATCGCATCTACAGAATCAAGGCAGTGAAAGAAAGGAAAGTCTGAAGTCACCTGTTAGAAATTCTTTTGGTGACAGATGTGCATGCTGAGTCTCTGAAAATCTCGATCTTATTGGTTATTATTATTATTCCCATGGGTTTCTGGTGGAAAATGCGGCTTCGGCTGTAAATCGCCATTTCGTCCCATTCTGTGTACTTCTCTTTATCTGGCCCAAAGATCGTTCATGGGCTGTCATCTCCTTCTCACACGATCTCAAGTATAAAACCAATAATACGCCTAACCAATCATTTTCCATTCGGGTTCTACTCGAATGACGGTCTAGTTCGCAATTTTACTCAGTGGTCTCCTCAGCATGTGTTTGGCAATACGTTGTTGGTTGGTTTCTCATTAGGGTTGATTGTTGTTCATTCTTTCTGGCTGGTCATTGGATCTTCATCATTAAGTGAAGACAGTTGATAAAAGCCCGCAGCCAGTTCATTTGTTTTGCTTTTCAGATAGTGCCTGGCTGTTGCCTACCGGTAGTTGAAATGAAGCTGCTTAGGTAACATGAGTGAAAAAGTTGACTTCCTATGCATTTCTCTCGTTGCTGATGGCTGGTACCTATTGGTGTCGGTTGTCATGTATCTTTATCTCCACTATCTCCTCGAAGTTCACTTGGAGTCTTGTCTTTGCTACCTGCCTCTTCTGCCAACCTGTTGGTTTCCTCGTAGAGATCTTCGAGTTTGTGTGGCACATTAGACATCAATCATCCGCGAAGTACAAATCTCCTAGAGTCTTCTTGTCTGTCCCAAGTATGCGCGTTTTCTCACTCCACACAGTCTGTCACATGATGTAGTCCACAGCAGTTAGGAATATCTTCACAGCCTTGTATTACTCATTCCTGTCTTTACTTCCAAGGCAGACTTTCCTGAATTTTCTGTTTTGGATCACTTGGCATGTGGCATTGTCACATAGTTGTTGAATGAGATTTACAAATATGTTTTGGACACTCCATAGTGTTTTTAACTATGAAAACTACAGTTAAAACTATCTCCTTTGAACAGAAAACGTAGTATACAAACAGTTGAGATAAGGTTGTGGCATGTGCTACTGGCAAGATTTATCAGGAGTATATAAAGAGACGTTCATCTGCACACAAAAATATCAGATAGCGGGGGGAAAGATTTGACTTCAAAGTTAACAAATGAATCAGTGTTGCGGAAGAACATGGGAGACACGAAAAGAAGACAAAGAAACGGAACATGAAGGGCAAAAGTAGCCCAATGCGGAAGATCTGTGGAAATGACGATTTTCATTTAAGGTATACATAATTTAAAGCTATCAAATTACAAATAGACGTGCCTTCTACTGTTACATTTTGTATTTCTGTGCCGATGAGCGTCTCCATGTATACCACTGAAGTGTCTTGTCAGCAGAACACGCTACAAGTCAAAGTGACTACTCTCCTCCTCCTTATTTCGGAGCACACAGCTTTAAGCCTTGAGTTTTGAAGTCCTAAGGAGAGCGCCACTATAGGATATAACATTATCGATCCTTACGTGGCTCGCGAAGGTTTGTGACTGGAGGGCTGCAAACTAGAGAGACGAAACAGTCGTTCAGTGTACTTCCTAGGTTTTTGTATTGAATTATCTCCCCCACTCCACTCGCAAACTGAAATTGTTGTCTGTTTACATGACGAAATCTAACGGTGGAAACAGATTTAAGTCTCCACAGAAAAATAAAATCCCTAAATTCACAACAAAAGAGAACCAATGTTAATTATCACTCCTAATTATTGTTGAATTCGATAGTTTCGATTCAGTTAACCATTTGATTAGTTTCGATATAGAAAAATGTAGTGAAAAATAATCTCAAGTGAAGTTTTTCTTAAAAAAGGTGGAGAGTAATTGTGAATTTCTGCTATTATGCAGATTGACATTCGATTGACAATTAGTAGTAGATGTGAATAGACATACACTTGATAACTGACAGTTTGTGTAGCTGTGTTTATGTGTTCATTTCTCTCTCAACGAAAAGTCACATGCATACACATACCCACAAACAAAGATCAATTTCATCATTCCTATGGCTTTCCTGGTTGACTGTCTATTGTCTTCCAAGTTTGTGTGTATGTGGGGAGGTTACTAACCTTACATCCACCCAAACTTCCCGCTTTTTCTCTATGTGAGGTTTATAGAAATGCGTTGGCGGCCAGGAGTCGAAACAATGACCAAATACGTGGGTATTGACATGCATTCCACCCCTTTGAACTACCGATGCCCTCCTGAAAAGTGATTCACAAAAAGACAGAATTAATGGGCTGGCCACTGAATTCTGTCACAGTGGCTCAATTAATGCTCAAAAAGATCACCTCGTAACCAGAAAGTCCTGAAATTCACATGTGATTAAGGTGTTAAGACATTCAATAAACGTAAATAAATCCACTTAATGGAGGAAAACGAAAGCATCAGACTGCATGGCCCTACCGATGAAGATCGAACCAGCCAGGAGCTTCAGGTTACAATACCATCCTGTTTGGCCATTCAGCCACTCACTCACTTTGAATTCAATGATACGTAAATGTGTTTTATTATATTCTATTTATTCATTATTTCTTTGAGTTCTGAATGGAATAAAAGGCTTCAGCCGGAAAATACCTCTGTTTCATCCTGTTCTCTGCAATCCTTTTTCCTTGGCAGGCTCCACGACTGCCCATAAGCTCTCAACTCCTCCTCAGTATCACCAATGGACAGACGCTTAACTTGTTGCTCCCTATACGGATTCCACTTGAAGGCCTTGTGGCCATCGAT